AATCTAGCTGTTTTTTGCTACTTTTTTGGCCATCTTATTTTAATTTGCAAAAAAATAAAATAAAAAAATCTGTATGCCTCTTTTATGATTGTCTATTGTTGTCGTTGTTGTCCACCGTTGTCATCAATCTTAGTTGAAATCAGGTCTCTCTTGTAAATGAGTCCTCGATGCTCAATGGAATTAACCTGTCTAAAATAAAGGTTCAATGAAAGTGCAGAACCACCAGGCTGAGGAACAGCTTCTACCCTGGGGCTGTTAAACTCATCACTCTCTAACCAGGAAAAATCACAGTGAAAATTACTGTGAAAAATCGTTGTAATGCCACTTGGTTGTTGATGTGTGCTGCTGACTATCCATGATGCTGATCTCGTGCTGCTGATTATTTCATGTTGCTGTGTTCATTGGTCCTCATCTGCTCACACAGACTCATGTTCGTGCTGCTGTTGTTTTGGCACATTGTTTTGTACATTAGTGTTTAACGTATTCTTAGTCTGTGTATTCTTAGTTTAGTGAATGTAGTATATTCTTAGTTCATGACTCAGATCTTACTAATGTATTTCTTTGCAATTTATGTTTTTGTTGGATGTAACTGGGACTCTATGTACATAGTTTCATCCCACCTCATGTACCACATGTGATGTGAATGACAAAGAAGTCTCTCTGAATTTCTGAATATTACATATTTAAAATAGTATCTAATTTAAACAATGTCTTTGGCTGAAATAACCCAGATGCCAAATTTTTTGGTATTTAGTTTTAATATTTATGTTTAATGCATGCCAGAAGACACAGTTCTGTGCAAAAGTTTTATACTTTACTTCCAAGCACCAGACCTGGTATTTTTAGTGGTCTTAAAAAGAACCATCAAGGATCTGAGAAATGCTCATTCCTCAGTTGATTATTGACTGTGTGTCAAGTTTTCAGCTAACAGCTCTTTGGTAATTTCTTGGGTGGTCCTAAAATACAACAGTCTCAAACAGTCTTTATAAATTACATTTATTAAACCTTTTATACATCGATTAAGATAAAGGGATAGGAAGAAGTTTCTTGAGACGGCCTGATACCAGTAAAGAGCATAAAGATCCATAAAGCGACAGCTGAAAGCATGAAATTAAAACTTGATTGCGCTATACACAACTACTTCGTCACTCAAAGATAAATCTGGGGTTTTGTTGGTTTTTAGTTATAAATGGTAAATAGACGGTACTTGTATAGCATCTTTCTAGCCAGTCAGGTTACTCAAATTGTGTTTACAACACGACCTGTGCCCTCATTTACCATCCACACACAGCGTTCCGATACATCTCTAAAAAGTTAGGCTAAAAGATTCAAGAGGCTTTAATTTGTGCTTTGGATCACATTCAGACACCAGTAGGACACATCTACGTCAATAAAGGGTTCAGTGCCTTGCCCAGGGACACTTCAACATGTAACTGCACGCTGCCCGTAGAACCTTCGACTCTCTTGTTGAATGACGATTGCTTTAACCACTGTACAATCATCTTCAAACGAAGCAGTGTTGTAGCTAAACATCTGGCACACGATGCACATGATGAAACCCGAAGCCTAAGCTAAGCTAAGGCTAGTAAGAGCTAGCAGATCTCAATACACTGATAAAAACCAGAAGTCCTGAAAGATAAAGACGACGGTGGAATAAGTTAGAGGGTGATCAAACGGTGTGGATCAGATGTAAGCAGTCTCTCAGAGGTGATACAGTCTCAGCTTTGGGTGCCTTGAAGCTGGCAGCATTTTTTATTTTTATTTTTTAGCAGTTTAACCACTGATCCACAGTCCCATTACTAATTATTACCACATTGCAAAACTTTAATTTGTCATCAAAATAAACAAAAAATTGCTTTTAAATAAATGTATTGCCCTCAAACTGTTAAATGCTTGTCACGTTCATTTTATCAAACTTTTAAATACAACTTGTGATGCTTAGAGTTATTTTCTTTTAGATAAAATGGCAGCACGGTGGCGCAGATGGTAGAGCTGTTGCCACTCAGCAAGAAGGTTGCCTGTTCAAATCCCAGTCCAGGGCCTTTCTGGGTGGAGTTTGCATGTGCGTGGGTTTTCTCCAGGTTCTCTGGTTTCCTGCCACAGATCAAAAACATGCATGTTAGGCTGATTGGTAACTCTAAATTGTCATGGTGTCTTTATTGTCATTCACATCACATGTGGTACATGAGGTGGAACGAAACTATGTACACAGGATCCCAGTTACATCCAACAAAAATACAAATTGTAAAGATAAACATTAATAAGAGCTAAGAAATAGGAATATATAGGAATATATACGATAGGAATACACTAAGCACTAATAGTACAATACAATGCACCAAACAACAGCAGCACAAACATGAGTCTGTGTGAGCAGATGAGGACGAATGAACACAGCAACATGAAATAAATCAGCAGCATGAGATCAGCAGCATGGATAGTCAGCAGCACATATCATCAATCAAGTGGCATTTCAGTCATTTTTCACAGTAATTTTCACAGTGATAATCCTGACTGTCTAACAGCCTCAGGTGTCTCTAGGTGTGAGTGAGCGAGTGAATGGTTGTTTGTCTCGTTTGTCTCTATGTGTCCCTGTAATGGACTGGAGACATGTCCAGGGTGTCCCCTGCCTCTCGCACAGTGACAGATGGACATCGGCGCCAGTGACCCCCCACCCCAAAAAGGAAGGAGTGGGTAAAAGATCATGGATGGATGGCTGGATTAATGGATTAAAATAAAATCATGAGAGTTTTTTTTTTTTTCAGGAAGAAAATGGTTATTATTAAAGAAAAGATAAAGTAAATTTCTTTTGGATCAATGACTCTGCTCTTGTTTCCATGAAGGCTTGAACTTCACCTTGAAGGCTAACTACAAAGGGCTCAACACCACCGTGTACAACAGGCAGGGCTGTGGGAGCAGCACCTGTGAAGGCGTGGCCATAATAAAGATGTTACATGTAAGTGAAATGAATACTAAAACACTAAACGTTTATTAACACTCATTAGGATCAAATCAGTTTTCCTCAAGGATTGCTTTAAATGCATCATTTCCCTGTGAGACCACACCATCTAATATTTGCTTGTAACTTTTATGTGCAGCTAATGCAAATTTCTGTAAGTTATTTCCTGATTCCACTTGTGCAGCAGAAAGGTCCATCGTTGTGGTTTGAGCTTCTTCTTCTTACCTTTCAGATGGCACATTCTGCTTTATGACCAGATGGTTATTACACTGTCGGTGATCAGCCTTCTTCTCTGCAGACTGTTTTTTTTTTTTTTCAAACAATGAATGAAATGCTAAAAGGTCATGCCACAAGTAAAACCACAAAGTAAATCATATAAGCTAGCCTGAATGCAACGCTGGAATATGATGTTGTATTCTGGGCTTCCAGCTGATCAAAAATTACTTTTGCTTCATCACCACAGCTGAGAAAGCTGCTGAAATATGAAAATCTAAGAATTAGGTGTAACATTTAACCAAACATTTCAGACCGTTTGAAGTGTGGTTCAATGTAAAACACATGAATAAATGATGTCTTACTTGTAGATAACTCTTTGGATGACCCCAGTAGAGTTTAATTGTGAATTATCATTGTCAATAATGGCCTATATATATATATATATATATATATATATATATATATATAATTGCTTTAACTTTTAACACATTTGAGCCCTGTCAGTGATGTGACACTGTTTTACTCTGAATGATACATTTACAGTATAAACATTTGTGATGAACTTATACCAGTATTTCTTTAACTTCCTGCTGCAGAGCATTGATGAAGTTGGATGTGTCATGTTGGGACCGTCCTGCACCTATGCCACCTTCCAGTTGGTTGAGTAAGTACTGGTGTATTTCTCATTAAACACTTAACTTTCAGCTAATTGAGTTTTGAATTTTCCCACATTTTTTACTCTGCAGTGAGGAGATTGGCTTGACTCTGAGCATCCCTATCATCTCCGCTGGGAGCTTCGGCCTCTCGTGTGACTTTAAACACAAACTGACTCGCCTTTTGCCTCCAGCTCGAAAAGTCAGTGAAATGTTTCTGAACTTCAAGAATGAAACATTGCCCTTTAAAGATCCTTGGGAAAAGTTCTATGTTTATAAAAAGGCCAACAATGTAAGCGAGGACTGCTTCTGGTGAGCCAGCACAAATGAATCTGAGTAATCCCATTACTTTTGTTTTGCGTTCTCTGCCACCATCAGCTTTTTGCTTTTGCCACAGGTACATCAATGCATTTGAAGCACCTTCTGCCAGATTCGCCTCACACACAAAAAGGGAGATGCTACGTAATGAGATTGAACTGAATAGGGCACTGCAGGCTTCACAGAGACACAGCAACAGTGGGTTTTTCATAATTATTTACCTTACTTCAGCTCAACATCTATTAAAGAGGCAATCAGGGGAAGTTTGCTAAAACTTTCTTGGTTTCCAAAATATGAACCGTGATTTGATTTTTGTAATTTCCCTCTGAAAGGCTCTGATCACACAGGATGATGACTTTGATGGAAAAAAAATGTCCAGAACATAGATAATCTTTGAAGGACCATCTACTGAGAACTGAGAATGTAGTTTTAAGGTCCTCAACAGTTTTGAACATGCATAAAGCTTCTGCAGTGAAGTTGTGGCGGTTTATCATTGCGGTGGCAGCATATCTGGGTTCACGGTGCAGCACTGAGGAATGCGTGGCAGCATTTGGATGAAGTGAGGCTCACATACCACTTTATTTATAAAGCACTTAACAACAGCAACAAGGCCAACCAAAGAGCTGTATAACAGAAACAAACAAGCAAAGGACACTGCATAAAATACATAGATCTAAATAGGTAAAGATAATAACTCATTGGCTAACATTACAGAATACAGACAAGTTAAAATCAACTCAGTGTCAAAAACCAGGGAATAAAAGTGAGTTTTTAATCGAGACTTAAAAACAGTGAGAGATGGAGCCTGCCTGACACGCAGAGGTAACTAGTTCCACAGTTTTGGACCTGCAACAGAGAAGGTTCTGTCAACCCTGAGCTTAAAACAAGCTCCTGGAACCAATAGAAGCATCTGGTCTGACCTCAGAGAGAGCGATGTGGGACATATGGCTGCAGCAGATCAGCGAGATAAGAGGGGCCAGAACTGTTCAGAGATTTAAAAACATACAGAAGGATTTTAAAATGAATTTGAAAGTGAACTGGGAGCCAGTGAAGAGAGGCCAGAACTGGAGTAGCGTGCTCTCTTTTGCCTGTACCAGTTAAGAATCGGGCTGCAGCATTTGAACAAGTTGTAAACATGCAATGGAGGTCTGACTGATTCCAAAAAGAAGCACATTGCAGTAATCGAGCCTGGATGTTATGAACGCATGCATTACTGTCTCAAGGTTGTTTTTGCACAGTATGGGCTTTGATTTAGACAGTCGCCTCAGCTGAAAAATAAAACAAAAACCAGGATTTAACAATCGTGTTTACATGACTGTTTAGTTTCATGGAAGGGTCCTTCCGTGAAACACATGTTGGAAATTACAAACCGATGCTCCGGTGTGGCTTAGTCTTCAAGAACGTAAAGCAGGACTGACCACGTGAGCCTCATGCCTAGTTTACAGTTGTGATTGTGACAACGTCATGAACACAATTCAATTCAGTTTATTTATATAGCTCCAAGTCACAACAGAAGTCATCTCAGGGCACTGAACAGAAACATTCATATGTAAAAATAATAAGTTAACACTATTTATCTGAGGAGCAGACTGCTTTGAATTTAACTCCATCACATAACTCTCATCTTGAGCAAGCATGAAGGCGACAGTGGAAAGGAAAAACTCCTTCATGAGGAAGAAACCTCAGAACCAGGTTCAGGACAAGCGGCCATTTGCTTCGACCAGCTGGGTTAGAGAGGAACAGGAAGGAGGAACAGATACACAATGGCAGGTCAATAAGCACAACCAAATGCAGATACACTTGTGGCTTTACCGTTGTGCTGACAGCTGCTTGTAGTCAAATTAGAACCAATCCTGCCATGTTCTAATAAGCTGAGGAGAGAATATAGGAGGGTCTTTATTCTGGGTGATAAGGCAGAATGTGATGCAACAGCAGAAAGTCAAAGACTTCACTAATTCTGAGAAAGAAAAGAGATGTTTACATCCATGGGTCTATAGTTTTGGACCACGCAGATTTGATCTCATGTTAGTTCAAAATTAAAAGTAATCACACATTTTGAGAGAAGTGGCAAGATTGACTAAAGCCATTCAAAAACTGTTATGTACAAATAGAAAGTTATTTACTGAACCTGAAGCTTATATTTTAATTTATGGAAATAAAATAGGTTATCCTCAGCTTCTGTGTATGCACAACAGAGGACACAACGTTGGACACTAGCTTCAACACTAACGGCTGTCCTCTTCCTCATTTGATTTTTGGTTTGTTGTTACTCTTTGAAGCAGACTACAGTTGTACAACTCAAACGTATGAGTGAATCCAAATGTTTTCCTTGAAACTAATTTTTGCCTTCTAGTTTTCATTCTGTGCGGGAGCATCAATGACATTGTTTCTATCAAAGAGAAGGTGCACCAGATCCATCCAGACACCTTGTTTATTCTCCTTGATGTTTACAAGTAAGACACAGTTTCACCATTTTGTCCCTACAACAGTCTCTCAGCGCTTCTTTTCAATTAAAAAGGAGACATCTGGAAGAATAAATAGTATCACAGTTAAAGTGGAACAACTCTATTTTTCTCTAGTCCTGCATATTATGTCAACTCCACGTCTGCCAAGGGAATGGAGAACGTCCTGGTGGTCACTCTGCCACAGAGGAACTACTCGGATGTGTCAAACTGTTCGTACAACAGCACGGTGAGCCGCAGCTTCAAACACAAGATCATAATGGGAAACGTGTTTTGAAGCAGAAATAAACTTTTAGTTTTGACACCCTTCAGTGCCGTCAGCAGATAAATGACTATGTGGCTGGGTATCATGATGGCGCGCTGCTGTTTGGCAAAGTGCTCAGAGAGAGGATGCTCAGCCAGCAACACTACGGGGGAACTAACGTGCCTCTGAGCAACAACCCATTTGGAAATGTCTCTTTTGACGGTGAGAGTGATCGGCAACATTTATAAATAATGAGCGCACAAGACAGTTTGTATTTTGCATGTGACATAATGTAACAATATTAAATACAAAAAATATATAGACTGGCTAAAATTATTTTATTTAAACATTGCCTCATACCCTGTCTGGTGGTATATAAAAATCATCTCACTTCCTCTTGACGATGAACTTATTGCTTTTGTTTATTGGTATGTTTTATTATTTACTGTTAATACAGGCACGAGCTGATCAAAATAACTTTATTCCTATTTCAATTTGTGGACGACAAATTTCATATGTGATTAACAATAAGTGATATTTTACTGAAAGAGATGTATCAGATCATTATAGTTATTTTGACAAGAAGACACTGCAGACGTTTCTGCTCACATGTACGGCACAACAAGGCTGTTCAAACACAGAGGCAGAGCTAATGTGCAGAGAGGTCAAATCCAAACAATACATACCCAGACCCTGTCAACACTTCTCTGAGTATTTTTGAAAAGGGCTGGTTTCCATTCATTCCACACACAAACAATGACATAGCAGCCTGTTTCACTCATGCTCTCTGTCACTTGTTCTCTAAAAAACACAACAATGGAGCTATTTTTATTGTTTTTCTACGTCTGTCTCACTTTATCGTGACCCTGTCGCCGTCAAACTTTGACTGTGCGCCGAAAAGGGTAATAACAGAGGTAATTGTAAATTTTGTCGAAGAAAAACGTTAAAAATAAGTTTTAGGAGAATATTTATCGAAGTTAAAAATGTTTTTTCTCCGTATGTTGGTGGTAATGCAAACGTTCTTGCAACCAAGTGGCATGGCGTGGGTTTTTCAGCATTTTTACCTATAATGTTTAAACAGAGGGGGAAAAAATAAAAAATAAAAATAATATATATATATATATGTATGTATATGTATGTATATACAGATCCTTCTAAAAAAAATAGCATATTGTGATAAAGGTAATTATTTTCCATAATGTAATGATAAAAATGAAACTTTCATATATTTCAGATTCATTGCACACCAACTGAAATATTTCAGGTCTTTAAATGTTTTAAT